ACAGGAGCTTCTAGTGGGATTGGTGAATACTTAGCTTATGAATTAGCCCAATGTGGATGTAAACTGGTTCTTTCTGCACGAAGGAAGCACGAGCTGGASAGAGTCAGGGATAAATGTGCAGGTATAATTGGCGCCCATTCAAATGCATGTTTCTGAACACAGTTAAATTATATTAACTATGTTTTGGAGCACATTTTTGGGGATATTTAATTTATCAGAGACCTGTTCTAGGCGCGTCCTCTCTGTGTTCTCTCTATCTAAACAGATAGTCTTCTTAGACTTGTAGTTTATTCATGAAGTCCATTGAAAGGTAATCCTTAGAAATAAAATYGTGGGGGGGAGGGGGGTAAATAAGGTGTGCAGAGGGTGTTGACCCCTTCCCCCTCCCGCAGATTAGCTGACRGATGCACTTCAGCGTTCCCTCCTTGGCTGGTCYACATTCYCAGATTTACAACTTRCATTGTCTTTCATTATGATATTTAGAAATTGCCATCCAGCACCATAAATCGTATGACAAGAATAAAGACATACTAGTTCTGCCAATGGATTTGAAGGAGTTCTCATCCCACAGGAACCTTAGCCAGCAGGTTTTAAGTCATTTTAAACAGATAGATGTACTCGTGAATAATGCTGGGCGCAGTCAAAGGGGTTGGATGAAAAATATGCCATTAGAAGTGGAGCAGGACTTGTTGGATCTTAATCTTGTTGGAACAATGTCKCTGACCAAAGCTGTTCTTCCTCATATGCTKGAGAGACGAGCAGGACAGATTATTGTTGTCAGTAGTATCATGGGGAAGTTTGGTATGTTCATAAGTTCAATGAAATATATTATAGAACACTGAGTGGGGCAGAGTAGAGTAGAGGAGATTTAGCAGGAGCAGAGCAGCAGCAGAGCAAAGAAGTGCAGAGCTGAAGAGGGCAGGGCAGGGCAGGGCAGGGCAGGGCAGGGCAGGGCAGAACAGAGCAGAAATTATTGACATTTAATAACAATCTTTCTTTTTTCATCAAGGTTTCCCTTATGAGAGTACCTATGCAGCAAGTAAATTTGGTCTTCATGTAAGAATATTATTTTATAATTGAAACTATATTATTTTAAGGAACCACAGAACAAATAATGTTTTGGGCCATTTTTTTTTTTTTTTTTCTTTTTTTCAAATTACAAACATTTTATTTTAGAAATATATGAGCACATCTTATTTCACACAAAAAAATCCCCAAACCTCCTTTGTCTGTGGTCTTAGTTTACTGGTCATAAAATAAAGGAGGGTGGACCGAGTAAAACTGGATTTGAAGGAGCTCTTTTTTTGCTGGCACAGTATAAAACTAATTTTCCATGCAGAAAATGAAAAAGACCCACCCCTAATGTACAGTTTTATAGACAGCCCATCCCTTTTAGAAGTTCAAAATTAGTGATCCACCCAGGGCTGKTTTTACCCCCACCCCCTTTTTTACAACCAATCATCTTTATGATATTCGCAATAACGATTCCACCATGAACTAGTTTCTCACCATTTAAACCTAGCTAACCATTCTCTTTCTGACTTCATTGTTTTCGGTCTTTCTTTGATTAATGGCAACAGTGATTGTCACAAGACCAAAGAAATGCAGCTTATTCACCTATTGGGCACTCTTAGTCCCAAGRYGATTAATGAACGCTTTACTTTCAACTAACCCATTCTTTTGTCTTTTGATTGTTTGTTTTCGTTTCCTTGCCTACCTTGCTCTCATTGGTTTCTTTTGTCTTATTCTATCATATATACACTCCTTTCTACCACCTCTTTCTCTTTTACTCCGACGAAGGACTAGTGTCTGAAACGTCAGTAAGTTTTTTCATCTTTTCACGGTGTATAATTTACTTTTTTATCATTACTGGTTCTTTTACAACCAGTCCCTTACTGATAAGGAGGTGTCCTTTTTTCTTTATTCTTTATTAGATGCYTGTAATGATATTGGTGCTTGATTTTTTTTCCCTTCTTTTTTCTCTGAAAAGGGTTACTTTAACAGTCTTCGTTTGGAGTTGGCAGATACAGATATCAATGTGCAAGTTGTCTGCCCAGGGCCCGTCAAGTCTAATGTAGCTGCTTATGCTATTACTGAGGAAAAAGATAAAGTAAGTTTAGTTAATCTGGACTCTTTGTACAATACTTCCAGTGTGTATTGAAGTCTTGACCACAAAGTACAATGTCCCATTTTCTCACCAATACATGCGTACACATTTTAGGCTAAAGTTTATATATCCAGAAAAAGGAATCCTGCATGAATTAATGAAAAAATGGCTGCATATTTGTGGCTTCAGCACAGTTCTTTACCAATCACAGTGTGCATGCATACTCTCTATTATTATTCTACATGTATATAATAATTCTCATTATTCTTTTTGACAGGCATTCAAAGATACTGATGGTTACACTGATCAAGGGAAGAGAATGCCAACAGAACGCTGCACCAAACTGATGGTAGTTGGTATGGCTCACAACATGAGTGAAATATGGATTTCCATTCAACCAGCTTTGACATTCACATACATGTCTCAGTACATGCCAACTGTATTTGACTGGTAAGAACTTTGATACAGTACTGTATATATATATGTGTTAGGTGTGTTCTTGTATCCTATATTCAGACCTGAAATTGTGTAGCTCCAGAAAATTTACATTGCATATACATAGGTTTCGATTTTTTTATATTTTTACGATATACTGTATGTACAAACTCCAACTATTTAAAAATCAATCTAATTTAAGGTGGGATCATTCATTCTTTATGGCAGGGGTTTATTACCATACTTCGGGAGTAAGTCAGAAAGCAGCCAAGCGAGATGAGACCATGCATGGTGYGAAAGAATTTGATGTTATGATCATTATAGCAAACAATRGAATTCCCAGAGCATCAAATCATTGGGAAACAATCAATGTTTTCTGCATTTCTYGTTCGCTTTAGATCACTTTAAATGAGTTCAATAGTCTTGCAATTTTGTGTAATATTAGTTTAAGTTCTAATTTGTATCCTGACSTAGTTTTGAGAGAAATTATCAGTGAATTTTAGAATAATGGAAGATCTAGTAAGATTGACTAGAAAACTGCGATGAAACTTGTGCACATCAAATGTTTACCCCGTCTTATGCATTATACGTTTTCACAAAATCTCATATTAAGTCCCATAAGGTTCCTTTTAAAACTAAATACAGAGTATAACTAAATGAGCRATGACTTTTGTGAATRCATATAGCTCTGAAATATTAATTTCGGCCGTATCAAATCCATTGTTTAGTTTTGAAGTAGATTATGCACTATATGCACTATATTTAAATAATCTCAAATATCTCATAATTAGCTAAATAGATTTTTTTCAAAAATCTCACAAATTTAGGCACCTAGTATATAATTATGTGGTACGAAGCATTTTAATGTTGAATGCTCTGCAAGGCTAAAATTGTTCTCTAAACGAAAACAAATATTTCATCATAATCACATGTTATGACCCTGATCTCATTAAAAACTGAATTAAACATTAATTCAATCTTTATGTGACTTATGTGCAAAAAAGATTTGCAATCGGATTAAACATGTTTATGCACCAGCGTTCCAAACGTGGAAGGTAGCGGTCAAGCGTGAGGGGGTCCAGCCACCTTACTGTAAATATCAATTTCACATTTGAGCAAATTGTATTGTTTTAATTCATTTGCATTAGATTTCAACACATGTAAAACTAAGGCTGATAATCAGTGGTTTTGCCATTTTCAGGTACAGCAAAGCCAGGTTCCTTGACATAATGAAGGCTATGTTTATTAAGGACTAGTCTTGAGGTAAGAGTGGCTAAACATTACTTTTTCTTTTAATCAAATGTTATAAAAACATTTCTCCCAAAACTCGATCTTTCCCAAATTCGCTTGACTGATCATGAAACAATAATTTAAAGTCAAGGTTGAACTTCAGGAACTACTACTCTCTACTTCAAACCATTGTTTCCTTATCATCCAAGTGAATTTTGGAAAGGTCGATTACTGAACAGTGACAAACAGACAAATAACTGTGAATTTTT